CGAACAAATCCTGAGCAAATAAACACCCTAGAACAAATCCTGGGAAGAATCCTGAGCAAAATCGAATGATAAAAAAAATCCTAGAAGAAATCCTGAGCAGAATCCTGAGCAAAAACAAATCCTCCAAATGATGATAGCCCAAATCCTACCCAGAATGGTAAAAAACCTATAACTGGATTTCCAGTCTCTAGCATGCAAAAAATCTTAAAACCCTAAACCCTAAACCCCAAACCCTAAACCCTAAACCCCCAAGCCCAGGCCCGACTCCCTGCAACGTAAACCCCATAAACCTTAAGAAGCCAAACCCTAAACCCAGGTTTAGGGTTTAGGGTTTAGGGACCCTCAAACCTAAACCCTAAACCTTAAGAAACCAAAGCCCTAAACCCAAAGCTCCTGTAACAGAAGAACAAGGTTCCCAGATGTCCATCCACTTCTTGCAGCGCGGACGGAAGGACCCTCGAAGCCAACAGTATTACTACTACGACTACAATTAAAAAAATAACGATCGTCTGACAGACTAGCAATATTATTCCTCTAGCATACCTTATGCTAACCCCGAAACCCTAAACCCTCAGAGTACCTCAAAATCCTTACTCTTTTTCAGACTATGTAAGGCCCCTACATTAGGCTCAAAGCAAAAGCTGCAAGTTGTCCTTCTGTGGCACCGGCACCCTTCGATGGTTTAGGGTTTGGGTTTGGTGTTGAGGGCTTGTGGTTTGGGGTTTAGGGCAAGGTTTCGCGAGTTTGCAGTTCTGCTCGGAAAGACTTTGGTTTGGGCGTTGCACCTTGGTCAAACTTGAGGTCTTTATCATCTGCAACACTCAGGACACAGTGCACCCGAAATATGTGGAGCTGGCTTTGCGGCATTTGCCCTCTGCTCCCGACGCCTGGTCTCTTTGGGCCCTCCTATGGCTGCAACGATCCATTCACCTCTGCGCCAGCTCTGGCTGGTTTGTGCTTTCGGCCGACATAACTTCGTAGTTCGGCCTTCAGGTCTTCATGACTAGGGCCTTGCTGGAGGGCTACCGCCTTTGATCCTGACTGGTAGTACTACTAGTACTGCGACCACGACTACGGCGACTACCTACTGCTACAACTAGTACTACACTTACGACTGGTAGTTACTACTACCACTAGTACCAGGCCACTACCAGTCACTACCACTACCACGAAAACTGCTCCTCCTACTCCTACTCCTACTCCTCCAACTACTACTACTACTACTACTACTACTACTACTACGCACCGGGCTCGTAGGGCGCCCGCTGCTGGGAGCAAAGTCGTTGTGATATGGTTGTG